GAAAATAATCACAGTTCAAGGACTGTGAGACAGAATTGAGAAAAGGACTTGGGAAGGATTCTAGTTTTATTTTGTTAGTAGCAGGTGATAGGGAAAATAATGTGGAAGTAATTCCATTGTTGGAAGGAATTATCCATGTTTGAAGTTTTGGTCAATAAAGTTGTTACCCAAAACACCATATTACTTCCTATGATAAATTTACTAACATAAATAAAATAATAACTAACATGACACTAGAAAATACAGTACAAGCACTTAAGACGAGTTGAGAGGGGACAGGGAGACAAGGATTATATCTCCATTGTTTGTAGGAAATGATGAATAATATGTGTAATTCAGTTTTGTTCTAATCGAAGCAGAAGCAAACATCTTTAACTATCTTATGCTGAACATTTTAGGTTTTTAATTTTTAGTAGCAGGTGATATAAATAGAAGTAATTCCACGAATTATCCATGTTGAAGTTTCGGTCAATAAAGTTGTAAATCAGTATCTGATCCTAAAATAAATTGGACTAACATTTAGCACCAGAAATATGATTAACTTACTTAAAACTGAGTATCCATCATATAAAAATGTCACTGAAAACTGTTAACATGGTTAATAAAACAAATTGAAAATATATATCTTAATGCAATCCTGAACAATGCTTAGTTTCATTCCAGATTTGAGTTGGTTTGAGTTTTTTATTTATTCTCTTGGGTCTAGAAGACAGACTATCATAATCTGTGAATATAACTCTGTATTTATTGTAATTAATATATTCGTATCAATATGTCTTACTGGCACGTATATTTGACTTGTTTGTTTTGGACTGTATCTGATATTTTTGTTTAACTTTAACAATGCATGTGAATACAGTTCTCATTTCTCTGGCTGAGATACTGCTTGTGTGACGTCAAATATTAACTTACTCAGGTACTCTAAATATGAAGTGTGCAGACAGGCAGTGACTCACGCTGCACCAAGCATCCTCGACAACTGCTGAGGAAGGGTTTGCTTCTATGCAAGCAATGTGATACCCTTACCTCTTTAGCAAGATATGAAAAGAGGGATCGGTATGATAAACTGTTGAAAGACCAGACAAAATATCCCTCCAAACAGCATATGCCAACTGAGATAAGAAAGCCTCATTTCCTCAATGAATAATTTTTCTTTTTTAATCAGTTAAGAAGTGACGACACTCGGAAAAACCCCCAAATCAATTTACAAATTTCTTCAATACATCTCTGATTGTTTTAGTCTAAAATTTGCTAGGAATTTAATATCAGTATCATTTGTCAAGCTGCCAGTCATGAACGGATCAGATGGCCTGGATAACAGTGCTATGTTGTCGTTACCGTTATTTATCAGCCATATAGGTTTTCATACTGCTCTTTGCATGCCGTGGTGTGTGTGATACAACTATTCGTAGATGTCGAGCTGACCTATTGGGGAGTAATGTCAGTGTGATAGAGCTATAGCTGTACTATTCATGGGTTTTCTTGACTGATTCAGAAGTTGATTTTCGGACCCAAGTCTAGAGCAGTTGTAAAACATTTCCCAATATCCTTGTTGGCCGAATTGTACTGTTCTGTTGCAGTTACTATTGTTACAGCCTTGCAGAATTAACCTGCATTTTACAAATAACTATAAAAAGTAGAGGCTGTTGAAGTGTTCAGTAATGTTCAATTAAAGAAAATGACTTTTTAGGAAGTCATATCAGGGTTTTACACAGACTTTTATAAAAGAGAGTCATGGTGACCCACAGTACTTATTTTGGGGAGCCATTTTCAATATTTGGGAGTCGTGAAAATCTTTGCGTAATATATATATGTGTGTATATCAAAAAGCAAGAGTTTTGCAAAGATTTTATTGTTTTGTGTTGTATTGTCATTTATATGTTAGTTGATAATAGTATGTTTGTCACAGTTCAGTTCAGTCATAACAAACTCCAGTATACTGAACAAATAATCATGCTTGTGATTTATTCACTGTAACATACAGTTATTAACATGAATTGAAAGAAATATCTAAATTAATGAAGACCTCACAAAAAACTATCATTGTTTGCTATCAAATCGATTTTATTGACTCTGAACTGAATTCTGAGGGTCACTCATAAAACTTGCGTCAAGCTTGACTCGTATGAAAATATTTTGAAAGTCTTTAACAAAATTGTTGCGTCAAATACGCAGGAATCCCGTGTCATGTAAAACCCTGTCATATTTTTAACAAGATTAGTTTGTTTTTTTACTCATTTTGTCTGCCAAGAGTTCATTTTAAATTCTGGAAAAATCTTTGAGTACTGGCGTTGTAAGAATGTAATTTTACTTGCTTGCATGAGTCAACATGATGATGTTGATGATGATGATGATGATGATATCTACTGTTGTTGCTGTTTTGACATCTCCCCTGAATCCACTTGGTTTATGCCACCTTGATATCAGTATGCGGAATAAGACAATGCAGTTTGAGGATTTGTTGTACTTTTGGTCAAAAGTCAGGGCAGAAGTTTCTAGTCCTGTGATGTAAGAATTATCACTGACATGTAGAAGTTGGGTGCATGGTATCCAACACATATGAACCTCATGTGGATAATACAATTCCATCTGCGGAAGTGAGCAGTGTTACAAAGCAAGCTCCTTCACAAAGCATGACACACTGTTCCATAACACAGCAGACGGCATGAAATGAATGCTGTAAGGAGCTGATACAGCTCTTCTGTCACTGGGGGTGAAACATTGTACCAGAGTGACCACTTTTTCCAGAAAAGTGTCTTTGTTTTTCTTTTCTTTGCCTGAATTGGGAGTGGATGACTTGAAAATCATGTTTCGTGTTACAAGCACCCTTACGTGCCAAGCGAAAAGGAAGAATCTCAGAGTAGTTTGCTGATCATCTTTACAAATGACATATCTTTTTAAAAATAACACTACATTGTTTCATGGCCTCAAAAGTGCCCTACATTTTTTTGTCAACTTGAATGAATACTGCAAGTCTAATAGAGGGCTGGGGTTATACGGCTCCTGTCAAGAAGCAATATGGTTTACAGTTAATAACTAGTCTGCCATACAGACCCTGAAACAAATATATCCAAGAAAGCCCATGCAAGTCTAGAATATGTAGCAAGTCTAGATTACCGCAGTTTTAGGAAGATAAAGAAAATCTATGGCTTCCTTTTCATTATATATTGTGACTATAACTTACGAACTGTTTTTTTTCTGTAAAATATGTTCTTTTCAAAGACTCGATTTTAGTCTAAGTAAACACATGTAACTCAATTATCACTCTTCTCAGATCTTTTACCATTGTTTGCCTTGGGCCTCATTTGTATTTTGTTGAGGGATCGGTGAGGCAGAGTAGTATGTTTGTGTTTTTGTCGTTTAATACCATACCTGACAGCATTCCTGCTCTAGCATTGTGATCAGTAAATAATCAAGTCAAGACTACATCATGCAGTGATTGGTGACATGAGCATACATCTAGACAATTGGGTTACGATGACCTGCATCAAGCAGTTCACTAAATTCCACCCCCAGCCCTTTCAGTCACCTCTGACTTTGTGGAGGACCTATATTCTTTTCCCAGAATAATTGTGCATGCTGACACATCTATATGTTGTGTTCTGTCTGAGGACAGGTAGTATAACCAGTAGTCTGTCGTACAGACCCTGAAGCAAATATATCCAAGAAAGCCCACGCAAGTCTAGAAAATGTGGCAAGTCTAGATTTCCTCAGCTTAAGAAAGTCTCAGGGCTCTTTTTCATTATATTTTTTATTTTTTTACTATGAACTTTTTTCAGTTAAAAAAGGTTTATTTCAGAGAATAGTTGTTAGTCTATATAACCAGGAAACTCCGGAAACAGTCCCAACAGTTCAAAACAAACTTGAAGCTTCCATTGTTTTAATCCATAACTGTTGACAGTTCCTTTACAGTGAAGTTTGTTATGTACCAGGCATTGTTGTAGAGTGTGTGGTAAGAACTGAAATAATAAAGAAATAACCTTGTTAAGTTCCAATACCTTAATACAATGCATTTATGAATGCTTTAAACAATGCTAGATAACACGAATCGTTATATTAGCTGAAATACATTGAATACATGAACAGTGAGATGAGCAGACGAGAATCCGCCATCTTGTGACTACCGTAGCTGAGCCTTACAATATTTAGGTTAGGTAAATTACATACCTAATACTATGGTATATTGAGAAAATATACTTCATGGCGTTAATGGTGATGTTATAAACATTATTTGATTACTTACATCATGGTGGAACCATTAATGCATAAGGAAAAACATTGATTAGACCTTGCATATTGGAAGCGTTAGCAACGCTTTTTGCTTTACGATGTACAAAGGGAGATAACTCAGCGGTAAAATTAATGAACACCACAAAAAGAGGGAAAGGGAAACAACTCTAACTTGACTATAGTCTGTTTGCGGTGAAAACGGACCGATGAATTTCACTTTAAACAAAAAAGTAAATCAAATAAAGTGAAATTAAGATAGCGAATCCTCATAATTTTACCTTGCCATTTGAAAATTTAAATCTCAGAATTTTATTCAACTTGGGATGAAAGTTGTTTAACAAACGATCATAGTTTCAAATCGGTATTATTGGTTTGTATTACAAGGGGGTATGCACATAAAATGAAACACCGAGATCAAGTAGGGTTGGTCTAAGTTAACGCTCATCACTTACCGCACGTGCATTTGTTTCACTGTTCCAACTAATGCGCTTACCCCCTTGTAATACAAACCATTATTAGCGATTTGAAACTATGATCGTTTGTTAAACAACTTTTTCATAAGTTGAATAAAAATCTAAGATTTAAATGTTCAATTGGCAAGGTAGAATTATGAGGATTTGCAATCTTAATTTCACTTTATTCGATTTACATTTTTGTTTAAAGTGCAATTCACCGGTACGTTTTCACTGCAAACAGACTATAGAGCCCTTGTTGAAGTGCTACAACATTGTTATCAATTGATGTAACAAAACGTGTTGTATTGTTTCCAGGATGAAGACCTGTGTTTGATGGGGAAGCCAAATGCCAAGTACTTCTACAACAGACAGGAAGGTTATGTAAGTACTTCACAATGTCGGTTGTATATATTCAGTTCCTGCTCACTCAAGAGTCACCACTTCAAATGTTTAACAGGTCAACAAAAAGCTGTACTAGCTTGAAACCTTTCTGATCGTGGTCCCTGCCTGGCGCTCGCCTGAAAAATTTCGGCATTAATGGGTACAACAAGGACTGGTCGGCTCGGAGTCAGTATAATGTGTCTGAGTGGGGTATTCATGCTTCACTGCGGCATGGTATCTCAGTGGGCTAGCACTATAAAACCAGCTTCAGTCTGGGCTAGTACAAGCAGCCGCACCTACACATACACACGCATGCACGTCGTCATATGAGCGAAATATTCTCAAGCACGACGATAAACCCAATTTCACCTCACCTCACCTTTCTGATCGTAAGGTTGTCTTTGCTTTGTGAGTGAAGAAAGAGAGAATTTTGTGTCTTCATATTTCACCTGACATAATGCCGAGTGATTATTGTTATGGTAACATATTAATTATTTATATAAAGTGGAAAATCAAATGATTAAAATAATTAGATGAGTGTACATATAGTAGCATGTCATGTGTTTATTATAATATACTGGACAAAAATAGTTAGGGATTTATGTAAATTTTGAAATTATGAATAATGATCTATTTATTCGTTGACACACTGATAAAATATCAATCATAAAAATACCAATATCCCTAACTTATTTTGTCCAGTATAGTATAATACTATTCAATAGCCATTCAAGCTTATTGTGCACAGAAGTAAGTGTTAATTGCATGTCACAGCAGGCTGTTGTGAGTGAGTGAGAGAGAGAGAGTGAGCTTTTACGCTGGCTTGAACAAAATTCCAGCAATGTCACTGCAGGGAACACCTTGAATGTGGTTCACACGTTGGACCAATGTGGGGAATCAAACCCAGGTATTTGGTGTGACAAGAAAGTGTCTCAACAAGTAGGCTCCCTCACTATTTATTTTGAAAAAATTCAAGATCTACATCAATTATGTATTAAGCCTATTACCTAGTGATCTAAATTTATGATTGCATAAGAAAAGCTACTCAATTAGTGATAATTTTTTTTTGTTATTTTTGTTTTTACTTATTTCTTTGCCTGCCTGCTCTCTTATACACGACAATATACAGATGGCTTTAGCCAATGTCTGTATCGATAGATGGGAGTGTACAAAATATAGCTGAATCAGCTATAACAGGATTATGGAGGAACCTTATTGACATCCTGGGAACAGTGGTCCAGATCCAGGGGTGTATCTGTTTCAGACACATGTGAGCATGGTGAGAGTTCTGCATCGGCCAGAACAGGGATGTAATTTGTTTGTATTGGGGAAACATTACCCATTTTCATTAAGTTTTACCATTTGAAGTTAGCTTAAATTTTTTCAGTTTTTAAAATGTTGCTTAGGTTCCATGAAGATAGAACCATGTGGCTGTGAAAATTACCTACTTGAAAAATTGAAGTGGCTTCTAAGATATTGCTTTGGCTATACTACTGGGTACTATTTAGCCATGTGGCTAGGAAATAGATCAATGTTTTACATCTGTATAGAGATAATGGAGTTTCATTTCATTATCTGTGTTTTTGTTTCAGAAGGATCCTGTGGATTGGACCAAACCAGTTCTCCCACAGATTCCCATGCTGCGCGAGAAATACTTTGAGTGGACTCACCAACCAACAGATTTGCCCCTGCGCCTCTTCCACTCCGACTTTGTGGAATACTTCTCCAAGTGTTCTTGGTGGATGGTGCCCATGTACTGGGTGCCCGTCATGCTGGCGATGATCTACTGGGCCTACACCGGACTCAGCGAGCACCCCGATGTGTGGCTGCCATGGTTGGCAGGAGGTTGGTTCCTCTGTCTTTTTGGGTGGTGGGGTAGCCTAATGGTTAAAGCGTCCGCTCATCATGCTGAAAATCCAGGTTCGATTCCCCACATGGGAATCCTATTTCTGGTGTGAAGCCTATTTCTGGTTTCCCCGCCATGATATTGCTGGAATATTGCTAAAAGTGGTGTAAAGCAATACTCACTCACTCACTCACTCACTCACTCACTCACTCACTCACTCACTCACTCACTCACTCACTCACTCACTCACTCACTCACTCACTCACTCACTCTGTTGTATGAGAAAAGTCAGTCGACTCTACATAAAAGTGTGTTTTTTAGACAAGTCTTTGGTTTATATTATGAGAAACATCAAGCACAGGTACTGTGACACTAAGAACCCAATCAAGATTCACCACCTGATTGATCAAGTGAGTGAGTTGAGTTTTGCTCTGCTTTTAGCAATATTCCAGCAATATCACTGCGGGGGACACTAGTAATGGGCTTCACACATTGTACTCATATGTGATTGATTAAGTCCCATCTTACAATCAGCATAGGTTACTGGGAACCCTATTATACTGTGTTTTCAAAGCAATTTTGATTTGTTAATTCACATACTTCAAGTGTTTTGTTACCAGTTGAGCTACAACCCTTGAATCTCCCCTTACTTTGCAGTTGTCTTGCTATGTTCTTTTGAAATTTCTGTATTTAATTTCTTCTTGGGAAAGTATATACTTTTCACATCTTGCTAGCATACCTGTACATTTGTTGTAGGTATTGAGATCAACGTGTCCAGGATGCCATATCTGTTTGCCCTGGGTGCTCTGTCGTGGACACTGCTAGAATATGTAATTCATCGCTGGGTATTTCACCTGAAACCTCCCACGCAGTATCCCATCATCCTCCAGCTGCACTTCCTGTTGCATGGACAGCACCATAAGGTAGGAACCACAGGAATGAATGGTGGAAGCGGGTGGAGCAGTAGTAGTTGTGGCAGTAGGTGTTGTGAAAGATGTGGCTGTGGCAGTAAATGTTGTAAAAGATGTAGCTGTGGCAGTAGATGTTGTAAAAGATGTGGCTGTGGCAGTAGATGTTGTAAAAGATGTGGCTGTGGCAGTAGATGTTGTAAAAGATGTAGCTGTGGCAGTAGATGTTGTAAAAGATGTGGCTGTGGCAGTAGATGTTGTAAAAGATGTAGCTGTGGCAGTAGATGTTGTAAAAGATGTAGCTGTGGCAGTAGATGTTGTAAAAGATGTGGCTGTGGCAGTAGATGTTGTAAAAGATGTAGCTGTGGCAGTAGATGTTGTAAAAGATGTGGCTGTGGCAGTAGATGTTGTAAAAGATGTAGCTGTGGCAGTAGATGTTGTAAAAGATGTGGCTGTGGCAGTAGATGTTGTAAAAGATGTAGCTGTGGCAGTAGATGTTGTAAAAGATGTAGCTGTGGCAGTAGATGTTGTAAAAGATGTAGCTGTGGCAGTAGATGTTGTAAAAGATGTAGCTGTGGTAGTAGGTGTTGTAAAAGATGTGGCTGTGGCAGTAGATGTTGTAAAAGATGTAGTTGTGGCAGTAGATGTTGTAAAAGATGTAGCTGTGGCAGTAGATGTTGTAAAAGATGTAGCTGTGGCAGTAGATGTTGTAAAGATGTTGTAAAAGATGTGGCTGTGGCAGTAGATGTTGTAAAAGATGTAGTTGTGGTAGTAGGTGTTGTAAAAGATGTAGTTGTGGTAGTAGGTGTTGTGAAAGATGTGGCTGTGGCAGTAGATGTTGTAAAAGATGTGGCTGTGGCAGTAGATGTTGTAAAAGATGTAGTTGTGGTAGTAGGTGTTGTGAAAGATGTGGCTGTGGCAGTAGGTGTTGTAAAAGATGTAGCTGTGGCAGTAGATGTTGTAAAACATGTAGTTGTGGTAGTAGGTGTTGGCAGATGTGGCTGTGGCAGTAGATGTTGTAAAAGATGTGGCTGTGGCAGTAGATGTTGTAAAAGATGTAGCTGTGGCAGTAGATGTTGTAAAAGATGTGGCTGTGGCAGTAGATGTTGTAAAAGATGTAGCTGTGGCAGTAGATGTTGTAAAAGATGTAGCTGTGGCAGTAGGTGTAGATGTTGTAAAAGATGTGGCTGTGGCAGTAGATGTTGTAAAAGATGTGGCTGTGGCAGTAGATGTTGTAAAAGATGTAGTTGTGGTAGTAGATGTTGTGAAAGATGTGGCTGTGGCAGTAGATGTTGTAAAAGATGTAGCTGTGGCAGTAGATGTTGTAAAAGATGTAGCTGTGGCAGTAGATGTTGTAAAAGATGTGGCTGTGGCAGTAGATGTTGTAAAAGATGTAGCTGTGGCAATAGTTGTGGCAGTAGGTGTTGTGAAAGATGTAGCTGTTGGCAGTAGGTGTTGTAAAAGATGTAGCTGTGGCAATAGCTGTGGCAGTAGATGTTGTAAAAGATGTAGCTGTGGCAATAGCTGTGGCAGTAGATGTTGTAAAAGATGTAGCTGTGGCAGTAGGTGTTGTAAAAGATGTAGCTGTGGCAGTAGATGTTGTAAAAGATGTAGCTGTGGCAATAGTTGTGGCAGTAGGTGTTGTGAAAGATGTAACTGTAGCAGGACCTGTAGCAGCAGCTGTTGCAGTACGTATGTGTGGCGGATTAATGATGTTCATTATGTTCAGCGCTATATAAGTGGCCATGTTATTATTATTATATGCATGCAAGCTTGTGACACTATGCACAGCGCTTTATATAAGTGCATTGATCTTGATCTCAATATTAAACCCTGTTTGACCTGATTTAGTGTGGAATAATTAAACATGTGATGCATTATTTCTTGCAGTGTCCCATGGAGAAGGGTCGACTAGTATTTCCGTTGGTGCCAGCCAACATCTTGGCGTATATAGTGTACTCCGGAGTAAGTCTGGTGTGTCCTCTGCTGATGACGCTGTCCCTCATCTCGGGGACGGTGCTGGGCTACATGATGTATGATCTCACACACTACTACCTGCATCATGGCTCACCCAGCTCACATACTTCAAGAACCTGAAGCGATACCACGTCAAACATCATTTTGAACAACAGCATAAAGGTAAAGTAGAGCAGTAGAAACATTTATTTATCTTACCTCACACATAAATGTTGTTTCTGATTGTCTGAGAGCTCTTCTATTATTTTCTATGTACCTGCTTATAAGCGAATTACATTTTCTATGTTACCTGCTGGGAATGCCGAACTTTGGGAATTCATTTGGTACTTCGTGTTAGTAATTCTTTATCTCAGATAATTGAGTCATGTATGATGTATGGAAATTACGACGTTTTGTAAATGCAAATTGATTGAAGGAAGATAACTCTAAATTTGGGAGGGAGATAACTCTAAAAATCAATTATTGGCTAATTGCCTAACTCTGGTACTTCTTATTATGATCCAATACCCGTGCTTCAAACAGTTCAAAATTAACATAGAGGTGTTCGGTAAGATAAATACGTTGTTCACTGGTCCCTCGGGGCCCATGGGTTGATGTAGCCTCTATGTTTGTTTATGGTTTTCACTAAATCAGCGGTAGATACACATGGTAATGTTAATCCCTGCATGTAAGACAATGCCATCAAGAACAAGTTAGAACTGAAAAGGTAAATAATCTTGTCTTGTGAAGTTTAATTGTCTTCCCTTGTTCATTCGTTCACGCAAAGCGATGCGATGTCGTTTCTTACCCCCTAAAAAAACGTTTGACAAAAGTCTAACCAGTAGGTAAGCCGATCCCCTTCTACAGATCGCTGTTTGGGAGGTCCTCAAAGTTATATATGGTAATATACGGTGTGTTTCAATTACTCTTCATGTACACATGGATTTGATAAAATATATTTTTTATTCACTTTATGTATAATAGCAAACATTGGCATTGTTTATGTCAAACTCCTTTACAGACATGTAAGTAGGAGAGTGTGTGATAAGTGTTTGGAATGAGGTTTTGATTCAGTTTATAGCCACTGTCTGCTCATAAAAACAGTATTTATTCATAAAGTGACTGTGCATCTTTGTCCTTTTCAACTAAAGACCTTATGCATAATTTATTATGTACCTAGACCGCCGCCATGGTGTAGTGGTAAGAGCATCAATCCCCAGACGCTTCATACCAAAAAGTCGTTAAAATATGGTACTTGTTGGTCCCTGCCCGGCGCTTGGCATTAATGGGTACAACAAGGACTGGTCGGCTCGGAGTCAGTATAATGTGTCTGAGTGGGGTATTCATGCTTAACTGCGGCATGGTATTTCAGTGAGCTAGCTAGCACTATAAAACCAGCTTCAGTCTGGGCTAGTACAAGCAGCCACACATACACACGCTTGCACATCGTCATGTGAGCGAAATATTCTGAAGTACGACATTAAACCCCATTTCACCTCACCAATTATGTACACTGAAACCACACAGCCTATAGGGACTCCAGGTTAGAATATGTCCCCAGCAATCTGGTGGTCGTGTATGAGAACTGAACTAAACTGATGAGATGGTCATAATGGTTGACGCAGAAGACCCGGGTTCGATTCCTCACATGGGTACAATGTGTGAAGCCCATTTCTGGTGTCCCCCGCCGTGATATTGCTGGAATATTGCTAAAAGCGGCGTAAAACTAAACTCAGTCAGTCAGTCAGTCAGTCAGTCATAATGGTTGACCAAATGAATGTCATCCCATCCCTGTAGTTTGGGTCCTTTGTGTCAATCAGTTGTGGCTATATGCAACTTGAAATCAGAAAATCATTCTGGGGCTTGCAACCTTACAACATAGATAAGAAATAATATTGTTTCCCAATATGTCATAGCATGAGAATAATGCTGAGAGTCAGCCAAGATACGGACAACTTAAAACACACAGGCATCGTGGAACATATATATTTGTATTTCTCATGAGTGATATAGTATTACATCACTAATTCAATAATATACCCTTTTTAATCTGTTTCAGGTTTCGGAATATCAAGTAAACTGTGGGATTATCCATTCAATACTCTCATAACAGAGTGACCTTGACCCTTGCCGTAGATTGTTTGACTGTGGAAGACATGGAAGGAAACTGAGGCTATCCCATCCGCCTGTGAAACAGGAAGCCCTTCTGTTCTGTCATCCTGACAGTGTTTTATGTGTAGACATTGACAAACATCTTTATAGCCTAGGAAAAGTGTGATGAATCTAATATCGACGACAGTGTTAGTCAAGATTCTAAAATTATAAAACTCTTAAACTGATTTTTTGTGTTTTGTGATAAGGCTGTTCTAGTGCACTTAGTTTTAATTTGATGCATTTTTGTACATTTTTTTATGCTGAAGATCTTTAGAATCTAATTATCATTAGTAAAATGTAGGCAGAATAGTTGTTTAATACGAAGGTATATACAACATTATTGCATATTCAGGTATGATAATAATCACCAGTTGTGGATTATACACATGGGCGCACAGTGCGATATTTGTGATTTTGTGTGAGGAGTTCCAGTCAATCTGAAATGACCAGAGACCGATTCCAAATTTGTTTATGAAACTTGATATTTAATTATGTTTGCAAACCCATACATATTGTATGATGGAAACCTATTCTGATGTTCATGAAAAAATTGTGATACATAATTGATACATATACCTTCATATCTCCATATGTTCATCTGTATTATTTGTACCGATACATGTGTATCTTCCTTGCACTTTTTGTGCATATAGAAGGGCTTAATGCACCAGTCCACATTGTAGACATAAAAGCTTGTTTACACTACACATGGTTTTGTCAGGCATTTTCAGTGCTTGAAAGTTTTTCCATTAGATATTTCAATTTTTCACTCCAGGATTTGTTTGTCACAAAATCTCTTCTTTCTGTGAATCTTACATATTCAGTTTCTGTATACTTAAGTGTGATGAGAATGAAATAGAAATCCTGTTTTTGCTGTGTATATAATGTTAATGTATGTATATAGCATATGAGCAGATTGTTGGCAGTTTTATGAGAGCCTGTGATTGTCCAGATGCTGGGATGATAATGTAATGGACATAGTGTGGCTCGTATTGCAGAGTTTGATATATTTATATTCTGCTGAAGAGGTATTTTTGCAGAGTTTGTACAGTAGAGATATTTTCCAATCTTCCTGTATGGCGTGATGTTTTGGATATATTTCTTATATTCATATTCTTTGGTGATTTTTCATTTGGTTTCTCCTTAATGGATATTACAAGGTGCAAGAAGGTTCCAATGCATACCCTCCAGTTTGTCAACTGTTCAAAGTACAGGAAGGACTCTTGGACAAAGTATTGTGATGGTATTCTTACGGTACCATCCGTAGTTTCCCTAACATGTCCTATTATAGAGTCCCTCATATACAGTTGTAAATGGAATCTCTGCATTGGTCCTTTCAATCTTAGCACTCAATTTTAAGTCTTTTGGAGTTAAGTGCGGAAATTGTTGTATTGCCACAAAGCAATTAAGCAAATCATCATAAGTCTGTGTTTAAGAGTTAGTTATTAGTCTGTGTTATACTATGAGAGTCATGACGGATGTGATGCCAGGAATGTTTGTGCAAAGGTGATAGGTTCCTAAACCTTAACAGAAAGGTAATTGTCATGTTGGTGAATCAGATAACAAGAAATTTTATGGATCAGGGGTGGAAATAACCCATTGCCCGGACGTCCGAGTCCAGTGTTTTTTCTGTCGGGCAAGCAAATTTGTATCTCACGCTGTACCGGTGTCCAGTTGACTTTCCAATGTTAATTATGTTGTTCATTTTAAAAATCAGCAAGAAAACGGGTCGGTATAGTGGAAGAAATATCAGGGCAAGTGACTTTACATGTGCCACTGTGCGAGAGTACACTAGCAATTTTAAAGTTATTTCCACCCTGTGGATGAACATCTTCTTTATTCAGGGGATGCGACATTTCAATACAGATTCTCCTGCTTGGCAACGGTACAAGAATCTGTATCAAAACATCGCCCTCACGAAATAAAGAAGTTGTTATCCGTAAAATTTGTTCTATAATGGCTGAGGTAGAAAACAGGGGGTGTTGTGTGTATATATATTGGGAAGTACAGTAAGAATGTGATGACAAGGGGGGGCGGTGGGGTAGCCTAGTGGTTAAAGCGTTGGCTCGTAACGCCAAAGACCCGGGTTCGATTCCCCACATGGGCACAATCTGTGAAGCCCATTTCTGGAGTCCCCCCGCCGTGATATTGCTGGAATATTGCTAAAAGCGGCGTAAAACTAAACTCAGTCAGTCAGTGATGACAAGGGATTACCTGTAGAAGCCAGTGACAATGGATTACATGTAGAAGCCAGTGGGATGTACAGAGCAGGAGAGGTAAGCCATGTTTATACAAGTTATACAAGCAGTTAGGGGTGGTTGATGAGTTCCTCGTATGCAGAAGGGATGAAATAAACTTAATCTCTATTGATCATAGGTCTGTGTCGTTTGATGTTGATGGCTTCAGTTAATATTTTCGTTTGGTAAAGTCAGTTTGGTTAAAGCCAGTATTGTGTATTCTGTCCAGTTTGGTTTCGGGGTTGGTTTGAATACTACACAGATTTATGTTGGATGGAGCGCCGTATTCTCTGCGTGGAATGGGGTCTGGAAATCAAAGAGGTTCCAAGAAACCAATACGCTGATAGGAAATGGATTTCCAAAAAAAATAATAGGTGATCAAGGAGCATAATACAATATTGTTTTGTTCTGGAATTGTTAAACAGAGAACCTGTGATTGGGTTTTAGTGGTAATTTCTTCTTGAATTTAAGTCTTGTAAATATAGTTCGAAATATGTTTTTGGTAATTTGGCTGTTGACTGACTACCTGTCTGGTAAGCTGTGAATTACATGATCGTTGTTTCATAGACTTGAATTAGACTTTGTTCATGAAGAAAAGATGTGTGTCATGTCTTTTTTATACATTATCATTGATAGGTATTGTTACGGATATGTGTCAAATGTATGTGCAGCAATATGCAGTGTCATGTGATATATAAAATGAAACATTAACAGCTGTTTTTCAAGGGGAATGTTTTCAGTGTGGCTTACTTTGTGTTTTCTCATTTTACAGAATTTTAATCTTTGTTAATCTGTTTCGATAAAAACTGTATTTAGTAAAGAAGGCCAGTCAGGATGCTAAGCTTCAGCAAGACAAGATTTTTATGTTTCATTTTTAGTTGATAAAGTTTTGTCCCCAGATTCCAGGTTGGTAGGTCAAAAGAATAAAAAAGGAGATTCAAATAAATATTTATTTTATTTTCTACACTGAAAATATTAGGTTAGTAGGACTTTTTTTATGAAAAGTGAAATTGGTGCAGGGTTCTTAAGACAATTTACAACAGTTTTTAATAATGGTATTTAAATATTTAAACTAAATTATTTATACGAGTGGATTGTGTTTTAATATTTCACTTACTTCTGTTGGAATATAAAACCTTTTTCTTTTTCTTTTCTTTACTTCAAGAATTTCATGAAAATATCCCCCAAAATATCCCTTTTTGTTAAGTATATATGCTATTTGAGGAAAAAGTACAGAGAATCATTGTCATCTGTACCTGCCGTTACCTTCAGGTTTCCCATTTGCTCAATCCCATGATGCCACCGAAAATGTAGCTTCCTGTTGCCATGGATACAGAGTGTCATTGCCCCATGTACTAGACTACCTTGATCACAGTAAGAACGCAGGTATTTTGCCTGTGTTAGATATATAGGCCATCAAATACTACATGGGGCTTCTTGCCAGTATCCGGATGATATGGACTCTTGCCAGGGTGTTTGTTCTAGAACATATTGCTTGTTATAATGTTCATGTGGTATCATCCTTGACCGTCCACGGTATCATATATTCACTATTTTAGGATATAACCCATGGATGCATTTGCCACCATTGCTTCATTTAGAATCTTCATGTCTCTTCTGTCCAGCATAGTACGGAATTACTTCCTTAAGATTGAAATCAGCAACCAATTTAGGAAACTTTGAGTGGCATTTACAAGTTGGTGTGATGAACAAAGGGGAGAGTTCTGTATACATGTGTATACAACTTCTGTTTTATTGATATTAGTGACGGTGTAGCTACTAACACCGTTATCAAGCAAGTTCCCATACTAATAATAAAGAAGTGGTATATCCATAGAACTGTCCCCGTTGATTACCAATCCGGAAGTCTGTATATTCAAAATCATGTTCTTTATTTGATCAAATCAAGAATTCTATTACAAACGAACTTTGATCTTAGAAAAAGATTTTGCAGAGTTTTCAAACTTGGTACGTGAATTTCTTACGTTACTTTTGCAGTTGTATTTAGACAGTATCACGCCAAATCCGGTACCTGCTACCAAACCAGTTGTATTAGACGTGATATTAACACTGTTGGTATAGACAGCTAGTTTTGGCCTTGTTATTAAAACCGGACTCAAAATGAAGCTATTGTGGCAAATGGACTGAAAATATGTAGGGTATTTATTATGACAAAATTAAAATATAAAACCCTTGATAAGAGAGGATGGGTAATTCTGTGAAATATATTCTTCATTTTGTGTAAATAGTCTCTCAGAATTGGAATTGTGGATACCCAACAAATCAATCAAAATGGCGTTTGACCGACTACAAGTACTTTATGAAACCCTCTGTGTTTGTTTCATGGGTAATGGGCGGTGGGGTAGCCTAGTGGTAAAGCGTTTGCTTGTCACGCCGAAGACCTGGGTTCGATTCCCCACATGGTACAATGTGTGCAGCCCATTTCTGGTGTCCCCTGCCGTGATATTGCTTGAATATTGCTAACAGCGGTGTAAAACCATACTCACTCACACACTGTCTTGGAATGACATGGAGCGAAGGTTGAACAAATTTGATTAAATAGACATGAGAAGGCTCAAGTTGAATTGTCATGACACATGAGTGGTCACAACGAATTGCATGAGTGATTAGTTGTGTATATTTTGCAAACCCTTCATTAAGAATCAGGGTGGTGGGGCAGCCTAATGGTTAAAGCATTCGCTCGATACATCAAAGACCCGGGTTCGATTCCCCACATGGGTGCAATGTGTGAAGCCCATTTCTGGTGTCCCACGCCGTGATATTGCTGGAATATTGCTAAAGGCGGTGTAAAACCCAACTCACTCACTCACTCATTAAGAATCATGGCTATTCTGTTACTGTCCATAGAGTAATCATTGACAGGTTTCATATTTTATTTCTAAAGCAGCTAATAAGACCCTGGTTCCATTCATCCCTGAAGACATGGG